CAAGTCGGGGTGCGGCGCTGCGCGGGGCCGCCCTTTCGGGAGGGGAGTTGAAGGAGCGTCCAGGATGGAACCCGGGCTCCAGACCCGAAGCCCGGTGGGCCCGGACTGGTTTTGTGACCTTGGGCAGGTCACTGCATGTCTGCGAACCTCAGTTTGCACATCTGTCAAATGCAGGGTATACTTCTCCCACCCTGCGAGACTCGGGGGAATATATGAGATGCCGAATGGATGCCTTTTTATAAACTGTAAAGTTCTGTACAGATGCTAGCTAATCACGTAACGTCAGGACTGGAAGGGCACTAAGAAATCTGCTTTATTGCAGGTGTGGAGAGTGGGAATAAATCTTTCCCAAGGTCACACTACTTGTGAGAGAATATAAGGCTAAAGCCCCCCAGCTCTGGGAAGGTGCAAGGATTAAGAGTAGGGACCCTCTGCCTAGCTGGTTTGGCTCAATGGATAGAGCATCGTCTGCGGACTGAAGGGTCCTGGATTCGATTCCGGTCAAGGGCACATGCCTGGTTTGCGGGCTCAATCCCCAGTGGGGGGTGTGCAGGAGGCAGCCAATCAATGATTCTCTATCACCATTGATGTTTCTATCTCTTTCTTCTTCTCTGAAATAAATAAAAATATATTTTTAAAAAAAGAGTAGGGGCCCTAACCAGTTTGGCTCAGTGGATAGAGCATTGGCCTGCGGACTCAAGGGTCCCAGGTTCAATTCCAGTCAAGGGCATGTACCTTGGTTTCGGGCACATCCCCAGTAGGGGGTGTGCAGGAGGCAGCTGATCGATGTTTCTCTCTCATCGATGTTTCTAACTCTCTATCCCTCTCCCTTCCTCTCTGTAAAAAATCAATAAAATATATTTTTAAAAAAAGAGTAGGGGCTCTCTATCAGACTTGGCCGCATTACAAACCAGGCTTGGCTATTTACTAGCTGTGTGACCTTGGGAAAGCCCTTAACCTCTCTGAGCCGTGGTTTCCTTCCATGTGAAGTGGGGATAAGAATGTCCGCCTCACAGGCTTGCTGTGCACATCAAATGAGGTCATTGTTCAGCACAGCCTCTCAACCTCTTCCTGGGACTCGGCCCCCAATGTGGGTCAGTCCTCTCCCCTGGGCTGCATAGCCACGGGCCAGGGTCTCAGCCTTCCTTCCGAGGACATCGAGGGCCCTTTACCGACAGCAGCAAGCAAGGCCACTTGGGCAGCTGGGCCTCCTCCAGCCTTTGATCCTGTCCAGCTGGTGGGGAGGAAGGGGTGGTCTTTGTCCTGGAGGCATCAGGGAAGCCAGGACCTAGAGGGTCACATAGGAGGGAGGGAGCTGACCAGCTGGGCCTGACTGGTAGGGCCTAGGGCCTCCTCTCCTCCCCACAGCGCCCAGCGCAGGCCCCGGAACACAGGGTGCTTCCTCAGAGTGCTAGTTAGGTCATCCCGCGTCTCCTGGGCTGCAGGTGGAGGACTGGTCTTTTTGGCGACTGGGATGTGAATCTGTGCCGAAATACAGAACCTCAGAGCTGAGAGTTCCCAGGATCTAAGAAGTTCCTCTCATTGCACAGATGGCTCCCGTCCGAGGCCCCCAGCGGGGCGGGGGTCTGCCCAGGTCACGTCTGTCCTCCAGGAAGCTGAACTCAGCAGACAGTGTTCAGTCTTTAACTTTCTCAGCAGCCGCCCCGACACCGCTGACCACTCGTTTCCTCTGGGAACACTCTTCTGGCTCCTGCAACTCAATATGTACTGTCTATTTTGCCTACTGCGTCTCTGTTTTTGCAGGTTCATCCTCCTTTCTATAGCCTTTAGCTCCTCTCCTCTGCTCTCCTAGCAGACACTCTCCCTGGGTGGTCTCGTCCACCCCATGGGCTCCCGTGACTACCTCTCTGCACATGACCTCATAGATGTATGTTTCCAGCCCAGAACTCTCAGGCGGGTGGCCGATGGGGTGAAGTGCTGAAATGAACCTGAAGCAGGGAAGATCTAACAGAGGATGAGAACTACTTTATGTTGGCTGGTCAACGCTTTGCCTAAGAGGTGATATTTAAGGGGAGCAGATGGTAGGAAATGAGGTCAGAGAGGTGGCTGGTTGGGGGGTGGGGGTTCAGTTAACATAGGACCTTGTGGACCATGGTGCGATTTTTTAAATTCTATTCAGATATGGGAGCCCTGGAGAGTTTCAGACAGGAGAGAGAGAATGCTGTTATTTCTCCAGGGCTCACTTGAGCTCTGGAAGAGGAGTCGCTCTATATCTTTTTTTTTTTTTTTAATCTTGTGTTTTTGTTTTTTGGGAGTTGCTCTATATCAATTGCAGCCTACAGTGCTCCTGGCACTGGAGGGGGAGGGGGTAGCTCCTCAAGGAGCTTCCACCACAGGCACAGACCTGGAGTCGGGAGGGTTAAAGGAGAGAGATTTTGCATCTGGCTGACAGGGAAGGCTTCCTGGAGGAAGTGGCTTCTGAGAAGGGCCTCAGAGAACGGAGAGCAGATTTCCATAGATATGTATGAAAGAGAGTGGGACAGATTGCTCTCCCAGGCAGAGGGCAGTCTGTCAGCCTGAACCAAGACACAGATGCCCCAGATGTGTGTAGAGAAGACAGGGGAAAGGAGACAGAACCTATAGACCAGCGGTTCTCAACCTGTGGGTCGCGACCCCTTTGGGGGTCAAACGACCCTTTCACAGGGGTCGCCTAAATACATCTTGCATATCAGATATTTACATTACGATTCATAACAGTAGCAAAATTACAGTTATGAAGTAGCAACGAAAATAATTTTATGGTTGGGGGTCACCACAACATGAGGAACTATATTAACAGGTCGCGGCATTAGGAAGGTTGAGAACCACTGCTTTAGAGGAATGAGAGGTCATGGTAAGGAGGGAGTCCAGGCTGTCCAGAGAGCAAGGTCCTGGATTTGGCCACTTAACTTGCTGTGTGACCTTGAGCTGGTTGCATTACCTTTCTGGGCCTCAGCTTCCTCATTCATAAAAGGAAAGTAATTGATTACATGCTGAGTAAGAGAGAGAGGGAGGGAGGATTCTAGATGTTGGGGGTGGGTGGATAAGCTACCAAGGAGCAGACAGGAAGGACTGGGATGGATGAGGAAGATGGTGGCTCGATTCAGGTGGGGGCCCCTGTGGTACATCCAGGAGGAATGACCAAAGGACATCTGGGGCCAGAGGTACAGGTGTCAAAGGTAAGACCATCAGTGTTCTTTCATTCATCCTTTGAGTAAATCCTTCCTGAACCACGCTAAGTATTAAGCCCAAAACCTACAGCTGTGAACAAACCAGTCTCTGCTCCCAGAATGTACCATCTTGAGGGAGAGAGCCCCACGGCATTGGACTGCAGGATGATGAGAGACTCGCATGTCAGTTATAAACATAAGGCACCTGTTGGACACGGGGGAGGGGACCCCATCTGGGTGGAAAGAGTAGACACATTTCAGCCAAGAGGAGACCGTTGAATTCGATCCTGAGGTTGAAGTTGGAATTGGATAGGTGGGTGAGGAGGAAGGATACCCTACACAGAGGGCACTGGGCTTCATGACACAGCACACGTGTCCCCCACCCCTCCGGGAATCAGGTCCAACAGGAAGACAGGCAGTCAGCCAGTGAGGCCAGTTGAGGGGAGTCCAGTGTTAATGCGTGATAAGGAGACCAGTGGGGTGGGGAGGAGGGAGTGATCACTACCGTTCCTAGGATTCAGAGGAACCTCTATAGGGTTGGAGGAGACCAGAGGAAGGGCATTCTAGATAGATGGAACGGCCTGTGCAAAGGCTCAGAGGCGTGGGAGAAGCATAGTGTGTTCGCAGAAGGAAGTCTCAGCCAGGCTGGAGGCGGGCTGTTGTGCTGAGTGCACGTGAACAGAGGAGAGGGAAGTGCTGGGCTGTGCAGTCTCTGGATCAGTGAGCAATAGGAAATGAAGAAATAGGGGTTGGGGTTCATGGAGCGAAGGGTTCTCCAAGCTTCCGTCCTGTGGAGTAGGTGTCATCGGCCCCAGTTTCTCTTCTCTTGCGGATTCGATTTGTCTGCCGGTGCCCAGCCGCAAAGCCACCTTCAGAGGAGAATCTGGGGTTGCCGCAGGTTACCTGTCTCCTTTCCCAAGGCCCCCTTCACACTCTCATGTCAATCAATCACGCCTGTGGCCCCAGGTTCCAGGCAAGCTTCCCC